GGGGGGGGGGGGGGGCGCCCGTCCTGCGGCCGCATGCTGATCCCCATGCGACTACGCCCATGGGCATGTTTGGTCTGGGTTTGCGTTGCGCGCGCACTAGTCCAGGCGCGCGGCGTCCCGCATGGATTTGCACGTATGTATTGAGACGGAGTCTTACGCCTTAAGGCGGGCGGGCTTGCCGCGACACGCGTCGCGTGGAAAAGAGAAATGACTGGTGCCTTAGCGCGGCCGCGTAGCCGACCGACCCTCCCATCGGACGGTCTTGGAGCGCCATGGACGAGCTGTCGCCCTTCCTCGCGCACGAGCGTGCCGATGTCCGCGCGCAGGCCGCCGAGGCGGTCGCCGCCTACTCATCCACCGACGACGGCGTCGCCGCGCTCGTCGCCGCTGCGGATGCTCTCCTCCCCGGGCTGGTCTCGCTGCTGGGCCGTGCCGAGGCAGAGGCCGCGGGCCACGCCGCCGCCGCCCTCGTCAACATCTGCTCGTCGGCCGACGGCTCAGCGGCCGCGGTCGGCGCAGGCGTATTCGAGGCGGCGGTCGCGCAGCTCGACTCGGGCTCGGCGGAGGTCCGCGAGCGGTGCACGATGCTCCTCGCAAACCTGACGAACCCGAGCCTCGTCGACGCCACCCACCTGCTGCGCGGCGGCAGCCTCGACTCGCTCCTCGCCGCGATCTTCACCGCGAGCGCCACCGAGCGGCCCTCGGAGGGAAGAGTCTCCGAGGCGGCCGCACACCACTGCTGCCCGCGCCGCGCCCGTGCCACGCGCATAAAAAGAATTCCCCTCGGGAGCCTCGTCGCACAGGCGCCGGCGACGCTGGAGCACCTCGTGTCCGCCCTCTGCCACGTCGCCTCCACCGACTCAGGACGAGGCGAGCTGTTAATGAACGAGTACCTGATGACTTGACATTAACATGAAGTGAGCTAATTCATCAACGAGTACCTGGTTAATTAACGAGGTGAGCTGCTGCGCCATGCGCGTGCGCTGCCACTGCTGCAGGCGCTATACTCGCTAGATCTCCGCACATCTCGCCACATCTATCTCGCCACATCTCGCCACAGCTCGCCACATCTCGCCACATCTCGCCACATCTCCCCCAGGCACTCGTCGCCCTACTCTCGCCCGGCCACCCGCTGCTCCCCGCCGCCGCCCGCACGCTCCGCAACCTCGGCTTCAGCGCGGCGCCGGGCGCCGGCGGGCGGGCGGCGCTGGAGGCGTTGCTGCGCAAGGAGGGGGAGTGGCTTGTGTCGGCGCTGGCGGCGCCTCTCGCGCCGCACGAGACGGGCGAGACATGGGGAGACATGGGGAGATATGGGGAGATATGGGGAGATATGGGGAGATATGGGTCGCTCGCGCCGCACGAAACTGGCGAGACATGCGGAGATACGCGGAGATATTGGCAGATACGCGGAGAGGTGGGCCCGGTGTGAGCGGCGTCTCTTCACACCTGCAGCCGTGAACAGGCGAGAAGACGAGCGGGTGTTTGTACGAGGCAGAGGAGCGTGCGGCGTTCGCGCCTCCGCTACGCGCGGCGCTGGAGGCTGCCGAGGCGAGGCGGCACACAACACGCTCACACTCACACTCACACACACACACACACACACACGCACACACACACACACACACACACACACACACACACACACACACACACACACACACACACACACACACACACACACACACACACACACACACACACACACACACACACACACACACACACACACACACACACACACACACACACACACCGCTCGCCCACGCGCACCCGCGCACACGCACACGCCGCACACGCCGCGCGCGCGCGCGCGCGCACACACACACACACACACACACACACACACACACACACACACACACACACAGCCACAATGACTTAGAGGGAGGAGAGGCCTTGTGGTGGCGAGCGAGATCTGGGGAGAGATGGGGTCTGTCTCCCTTCTCTAGGCGAGCGAGAGGACGCGTGCGCAGCCATATCTCCCCATATCTCCCCATATCTCCCCATATCTCCCTTCTCTAGGCGAGCGAGGACGCGTGCGCAGCCATGCGCAGTGCAGGCGTGTTTCCCTCTAGAAGCGGAACGAGAGAAGGCACTCCCACCATACCACATCGGTGTGTTCATCTCCCAACATCTCCCCACATCTCCCCACCTCTCCCCACATCTCCCCACCTCTCCCCACCTCTCCCCACATCTCCCCACCTCTCCCCACCTCTCCCCACCTCTCCCCGCATCTCCCCGCATCTCCCCACATCTCCCCACATCTCCCCACATCTCCCCACATCTCCCCTCGGTGTGTTCATGAGCGCAGGCCTCTCGCTCCGCGCTTCTCCCGCCACATCTCCCAACATCTCCCCAAACCTCCGCCATTCTCCCCACACCTCCGCAGGCGTGCCCCCCGTGCTCCGCGAGTCGCGCTTAATGAACTAAGTAATTCGTCACTAATTAATTAATTAAGGCGTGTTCCCCGTGCTCCGCGAGTCGCGCTTAATTCATTAAGTAATTCGTCACTAATTATCTAATTGAGGCGTGTTCCCCGTGCTCCGCGAGTCGCGCTCGCTGCTGCTGCTGTCGGAGGACGAGACGCACAGGCCTCGAGATATGGGGAGATACTGGAGGGGGGGAGATGTTGATCTGCGCCGCGTCTATGCGTGTCGCACAGCCCTGCCGTCGAGGCAGACATCCACACATCTCCACACATCTCGCCACATCTCCCCACATCTCGCCACATCTCCCCAGATCTCCCCGCACAACCCTGCAGTCGAGGCAGATCTCCCCACATCTCGCCACATCTCGCCACATCTCCCCAGATCTCCCCGCACATCCCTGCCGTCGAGGCAGATCTCCCCACATCTCCCCACATCTCGCCACATCTCCCCAGATCTCCCCGCACAGGCCCGTCGTCGAGGCAGATCTCCCCAGATCTCCCCACATCTCGACACATCTCCCCGCACAGGCCCGTCGTCGAGGCAAACGAGCGGCTCGTGTCCGCCTTCCACCTGCAGGCGGGAGAGATGGGGAGAGATGGGGAGAGATGGGGAAATGTGGGGAAATGTGGGGAGATATGGGCCGAGTACGGCAAGCACAACTTGCAGGCGGGAGATATAGGGAGATATGAGGAGATATGAGGAGATATGGGGAGATATGGGGAGATATGGGCCGAGTACGGCAAGCACAACCTGAGGAAGTGCCTAGGAAGTGCCGAGGAAGAGTCTAGGAAGTGTCTAGGAGGTGTCTAGGAAGTGTCTAGGACGTGCCTAGGAAGTGCCGAGGAAGAGTCTAGGAAGTCGCTAGGAAGTGTCGAGAAGTGTCGAGGACTAGGAAGTGTCGAGGAAGTGTCGAGGAACTGTCCTGCAGGCGGGAGGGACGACGCACGCGCCGCAGCCTTCGGCGCCGCGCGGCCAGTTTGTGAGGGAGCCTGTGAACGGCGTCTCTTCACACCTCCAGCTGTGAACAGGCGCCGCGCGGCCAGTTTGTGTGGGAGAAGGAGGACGCGGCGAGGGAGGCCGCAGCGGCGGCGGGGGCGGCGACCGAGGCGGCGGAGGCGACGGCGGCGGCGGCGGCGAGGGCGGCGAGGGCGAAGGCGGAGGCGGACGCGGAGGCGGAGGCGGAGGCGGAGGCGGAGGCGGCACGTGTAGCGCTG